GGGGGGGGGGGGGGTTAAAGTAGTCTTTATTGAATGAACTGATTTTCAGCACATCATTTAGAGCAAAAATTATCATTAAATTTTTTAATTTTTCTCAAGGTAAATAGAAAATATTAAAATGAGCATCTTAAAATTTCAAACACGCTCTAAGCTTGCTTAGAAAATTTATTATTTAAAATTTGTTTTCGAAATGCAATAAACTTATATAAATAAAATCTAAAAATAACTTATATATTTTTCAGAAATAAGTAAACAAATTTTTTTGAACTACTTGAATAAAATTGATTACGTGTTTTCTGTATTTAATTGCCATATTAAGTTGAAATTCACATTTTTCTTAAATTCATCATTCAGTATATTCACATTTTTCAGATATTATGCCCGGAAGCATAAAAAAAAGAAGCAATTTTTAGAAAAATCAATTAAAATATATGTTTCAAAAAATTACATATTGAAAATTTTAAAATCCTCTTTTTCACGTAAAACTAAGTCTTTTTAATCTGTGAAAAGTTATAACGGACTGATATCATGAATCTGAAAACAGATTTTTAGTTTAAACGCTTACAACCCTAAAGAAAAACTGACTGGTCACTTGGCTGAGTTTTTTGCAATCATGCTAGCTTCTATTTTAAAATTCGGAATTTTCGGTGAGTTCTCAATTCAATAATAATGGAGTAAATGCTTTGAGTCACAAAAATAATACTAAGAAATTTATTGTTTTCTATAAAACTTTGAGTTTATAATGTATATGCATATTTGCCTTTGTCAAAATTTTCAATCTATAAATAAACCGAAAATGTGTCTTAAGTGTAATAATAATGCAAAAACTATTAAATAAAAGCCTTTCAATAAAAATACTGCATGCATAAGAATATCTGACACAAAAAATTTTGTTAAACTATTTTAAACTTAAAGAAGATGAAGAAAAAAAAGTTTTTTCTTCTTCCTTTTTCATAAATCTTAGAGAGATTCTCTCAGACGATAAACCGTCTTTAAATAAACCTATAATTTCGCTGTATATTTCTTTTTTCTTCATCGAATAACAATTTCTTCATTTTGAAAGCATTATTACCAATTTTTAAAAGCCAGAATGAATGAAGCACTTCTTTATGTCCTTATACCAGTCAAATTTCAACACATCTATCCATTATTGACGTAGTAGGGTGTTCAAGAATCTGTCACTCACCAGATGTTATGCTCTATTAAACCATCCATTGAATGACCGAGGAAACTTCTTATTTTCCAAATGAAGTCCAATCAGGAGTTCTCTGATGTTAAACAACAAAAATGATGATGGTCACCCTAAATAAAACTATTCACACATTGATCCTCATTTAAAGTAGAATGAAAGCCTCAGTGTGTGCAACATTAGCCATGACTGGTAGAGGAGATTTTAAAATGAAACAAGGTAGCAGAGAATTCGACATGAATAAAGTGTTCAAGCGATAAAATAAAATGTCATAAAATCACA